CACGCTCTAAAATCTTCGATGCGTTGCAAATACATCCTACGGTATTTATTGATTTCTTTTTTTTCCACTACGAAAGACTTACACACGTCGCGATTAACGGAGAGAAGCAATTTTCATCCACTTTTCCGAAAGTTCCCCCTATACGTATAGCGTTCTTTGAAATCCTGTGAAACTCCGCGCTCTAGAATTAAATTCCCGTTTTACCGTACCTACGAGTTTTCTACCACCGTGTTTATCTGTAATTAACGTCGTTACCTTTTTCAATTCCATTTAAATAACGACCATGCCGCCGCCCTTCTCATCCCCTAAACTCCGCTGCATGTTGCTCGCGTGCCTCGGTAATTGTCCAGGAAATTATCGGTAACGTTATCGGGCTTCGTTGATAACGGGTGGCGTATCCATGGCGAACCGAAACTCTAACCGGAAGCACGGAATTCTAACGTGACACACAACCCGATCCTCGCGCGCCGCTGCGCTCCCGTAATTTTACAATTTCCTCTAGCGCGTATTCGCTTCCTGCGCGAACCGACGCGTCCAAGATATACCGTTTAATGTACACGTGCACGCGCGCTAATAATATTAATCGTACAAGGGAAATTCGTCCCTCCAGTTTCAAACTATTCCTCGCACTCTTGCAACGAAGGGTTGTTGGATGGATATAGGTGTTTCGCGGAAGGATGCAGTTTCAGAAATCAGATACAGCGACTTGGGAAATATATACGAATGTGAGTCGGGAGAATTTAATTATGGTAACGAATTTCCTAGAGTTGAAGAACTAGAGGGATGAATTATTTACTCTGAAATGGAGTTTGGGGAGATTTGGAGAATTTGTTTGGACGGCGGAGAAAGTCTTTTTAATTTACCATTGTTCGACCAACAACCGCACTTTCGTAGAGTTGAAACAAGTGGATAAGGAGTTTGTGGATTGTTGAGAAATGTGAGGAGGAAATTCTGAGGAATGTTTTTAATTTTTAGAGAGAAGTTTGTTTGAAGGGAAGAGGATTTTCTAAATTTTCCATTTTTTACTGATTTTTTAGAGTAGAAAGTATTGGACGAAGATATACATATGTATTATCCCTGTATATCAAGGAGACAAGTTTTGAGGAATTTTTTTTGCAGGAAGGACATATCCTAAAATTCCTCTTCGATGATTTTGGGAATCCAGGAGATCTAATATATCGCGGAATGTGAAATTTTTCGAGGAAAAATCAGGTTGATGGAATGGGTAGAATCGAACCCTAGATAATCTATTGGCAACCGGGTATTCTATCCATTTCGCCAAAGAATCTATCTCTCACTCACTCGTATTTTTGGTCCTTAGAGTAGCACCTGCATACCAGCCCTTGCTCATTCACTTTAATTAACACTTTTAATTATTATATATGAATTTTATGTGAATAGAACTTGTTAATACGTCCATATTGTAATTTCAGCCAGGAAGAAATTTTTCATTTCGTAAGAATCATTGTTGCTTCAATCTTTCTTCTCTTTCAGCTACAGTTGAACATTAGTCTAAATGTAAATTTCCCGGTATTCCCAGTGTACAAAGACACCATGGAAACAATTTCATTCCGGAAATCTTCCATTGTCACCATAGCTTTCCCTTCCCTCCTCTGCCATCGCTTATTACATTTTCCTCGAACGTTATATTAAAGAGGAACACGCGTCCAAGAAAACTTTTTCCATTTGTGATTGTTCCCCTGTACGATGGTACACGTATTATTCCATGTTTCTCAAGTTCATGGTGGTCGTAGAGGGGGACAGAAAAATTGTCTGTGGCTTGTCGAATATTGCACGCGACGTTCTATCCACGGGACGGGGTAATTAGACGGAAAATAACCAGTATGCCTGGTTGAATTTCAGCGAGAAAAATTTTCCTCCGAGCAATTTCGTTGGTAACATATAGCCTGCGGCGTGGCGGATGCGTAAGTGTAGCCAACCCCTTCGAAAAATTGCCTCGAATCCTTGCAAACGTATTTTTTCTCCTTTCATTTTGTGCGCAAAGTGTATTCCCTGAAATTGAGCATTTTTTAAGATATTTATTTCAACAATTTTCCGACTTTACTCGAACGTAGTAAACCTGTGAGACACCTTTCATAATATTTCGAATTTTCTTGAAATTCTTTTCATCCTGTGTTCTACATACTTACAAAGGAAAATCTCGAAGTGATAATCATCGATATTGATGAAATTTTGGTATGTGGTAGTACTCAAAAAAATATTTGACACGTATTTTTTTTTATCAGCTATCGTCCACGTTCAAGAGGTGAAAATCGCTCTCAAAGAATTTTCGTCTAATACCTCGAAATTGTGTAAATTGACGAATCTTGTATTTTTCAAATCAAAATTATTTACTTTTTATTTCTTAAATCTATTGTTGAGAAATACAAAATTATTTATTTTTTATTTCTCAAATTTATTGTCGAGAAATACAAAATTATTTATTTTTTATTTCTCAAATTTATTGTCGAGAAATACAAAATTCTTGAATTTGCACTATTCTTCCATTTCTAATAATTTTCGAGATACTAAACTAAGTGTATTCACTATCACCAACTTTGAGAGTGATTTTCACCCCTTCACAACGGTATAAAAAAATACGTGTCGAATATTTCTTTGAAAACTACTATATACTAAAGTTTCATAAAAGTCGGTGATGGGATGTTCCCTTGTTAGAACTATCGATTAATGTAACAAAATTCATTTTTTAACCCTAAATATTGAACTATCCTCTTCAAAGGGATAACGAGAACTTATGCTGCATAAGAAGTCCAAGAAGTGTTGGAAGTTTGGAAAAACGAAAATAACCCGTGGAAAATTAATTTCGTTATTTTTATTTCGTTTTATCGGCGGAAGCCGCGTTGTCCGACTTCGTTAAAAGTTTCGAAAAGCCAGGAATTGTTATCCCCCTAATAAATTCGGTAATGGTAATTCTATTGGACGATCGTGGAGAACGTAACGAAATTAACATCTCGCATGAAAATTTTTCGCGGACGTTACAATTTTCCCGTTTTCATTAAAATAATTCCGCGATTTCCTGCTGTTTCTTTTTTACGCAACGAAGAATCGGGAAAAAGAACGCGAACAAAAATCGCCGTTTCGTCGTTTTTATTTCGACTTTACGACGTACCGCGGTCCGTGAAAAAAAGGTTTATCCGAAAAGAATTGCCCAATTTAACCGGAAAAATATATTCTCTCTCGTTCGCGTTACTCGTTCGTTGTGCTTGTGCTTATGATAATGAACGAACTCCCGCAGAGTGAAACACGATGCCGCCATTAAAAAAGAGAAGCTGTCCGAAACACGATGCACAGCATGCAAATTTCTTGGAATATACTTCCTGTGTTTCTTAAGCGCAAAAAGAAAAGAGCGAACAAAAAAAGAGAAACAGCAACAAGGAATTTATCACTTTTCCGTCGAAGTACAATATCACGAGGCGTGAAAAGTGTTCCGCCAACAATGGAGAGGACTGTTTGACCCAAGGTAAGGGTGAACGCGACGTTTTATCAAACAAAGGGACTCGGTCGAGTCAATGCGTCATTAAGGGCACGATTTATCGATCAACGATCCCATTGCCGGAACGAATGCAATTTTTCTTTAATTTCATGCCTCGCACCTCGACAATGGCCGGGCGTCTTTTGCCTTCCCACTCGCTAAACTGGGAAACGTCACGGTGGAAACGGATGCGCCTGCTGAAGAATGGGATTTAAATTTGAATGAACGAGGTGAATATGGGAAGAAATAGCGTAATGTATCATCGTTAGTAATAAAATGTGCGGAATGTGGGTTAATGACTGTACTTGTGATAATAACGAAACCGTTTTACACGTCGGATTAACCTTTTACGAATTAGTACGAGAAATTGCAGCTTCATTTTTTCATAAAGAGTGTTAGCTACATTTTGATATGTGATCTTTACTATGCTGCTATTATAGCGCGCTTTTTCAAGAGTAATTTTATTTATCAACGGAGGCGATCTTCTTTAATTAACCCTTTAACTTGCAACAACGTGTCAGACTCGTGGCAGAGATTCTGGTCAAGATGTGAGAAAAATAGTTAGGTATATCAGTGAGAAAAAATTCAATGTAATCCTAGCTGTCGTTTTAATTCGTAAGATCAAGGATTCCTAAATGTAATTAATCTGTAACAGATTAACTTTTGTTACGTGGTGCAGTACTGAAACATTAAATGGCTGACGCTTATATGCATAGTCAGAAAAGAAATCATAGGTTAAGGGGTTAATGGGATCCTATGTTCGGGTCACTAGAGATCCACGCTAGATTTGGTACCATACATCAGCAGAAGTGTATGTACTCGTTGTATTACGAGATTCCAGGTTGAATAATTTTGTGACGATTGTTTAGGTTTGTTTCACATTCGGTAAGTGTCCTAATACTTATGAACAGAAGTGTATACAGGGTGAGGCACCTAACTTGATCACCTCGAGTAACTTCTATTCGCATAAGGTCGCGTTGAAACATCATGGTTCACCAGACCTGTTCTGGTACATTCAAAAATAAAGTATATCGTGAACCACCAACAACGTTAGAGGATGTGCAGGAACGAATTCATGAAGCGTATGCCACACTTGCTTCGGAGGCAATTCGCCATCTTATGCGGATCGAACTTTGGTTAATATCTCGTTAATTAGTAGCTTTAGGTCATACAATGTTTAATACTTTTCTACTTGGAAAGTAACGAGCTTTCGAACTGCCGTAAAAAAATAGGGCATTCCATTCAGAAAAACAAAGTTCACCTTAAAATCTCCCAAACGCCTCCACTTATAAAGAAGTCGCGTACACCACGTGATGTCCCTCTCGATACCAGGTAACCTTTGTCGAAATAATTTTTTGTGGAACGCGTAATTTAAAAGTTATTCGAGGTGTTCAGGATAAGAAATCTGCGCGGGTGAGAAAAGACTCGGATAGTTAAGAGAGGAATTTTTAATTTTCTCGACACTTTTTCTCCAGAAGATAAAATTATCATAAATATCTCTACATACCTGAGGATAATCGCCAAACTTCGTCTGATAATCGAACACGTACAAATAAGAGTTTTTGTGGGATTGGCTGTGGAGATCCGCCGTTCTGGTAGCTGGGGCCACGGTGTTCGCGTCCCCCAAAGCTTCCAGAGTTTCGTCCCTGAAAGGAAAAAGAGGCGAGGAGAGTTGTATCTCTATTCAGCTGTGGAACAAAAGTCGAAAGTTGAGAAAAGACGCGGAATGAAAAGGTCCTCGACTATTCGAAGGGATCTGCTAAGATTGTACAGTGGATCCCCTCGATATTACGCAGCTCTTCGCCATTGTGATTGAAGAATGACACGAGTTGCGTTTCCAGCGGGAAAATATTCTCTCCGCGATGAGGTTAATTTTCTCTCGTGGTTGTTATACTTGTTTTTGAATGAAAAAATGTTACTCGAGCGTTGGACGCACTTGATGTTCACCGGATGCTGCACCGGCCGTTCCCAATCCGTGTACTCGTTGATTATGGTCGCCAGGATCTCTGCTTGATGATAGGTGTAGGTGTTGCGTACGAATTCTCGCAAAATTTTCGTTCTTCTGTCAGCCTCGATTCCGTATTCAGCGTCGTCCGCCGTTAGAGCGAAGTACGCTTCTGATCGGACCACGCCGATCATTAAATCGTACCTGGAAAACGTATGGGAATAGTTAAAGGATTTTTCGGAAGCTTTTATGTATAAAGTAATAGCGTAAAGTGATTTTCAATGTTCGATATTCTGTTCAATTCAATTTGGTTTAATACGCACTCTGACCTATAATCGCAGGAAATTTTCGTGATACAATTTCTGCATATCGCACATCTGAGGGAAAAGTGCCGCGAGTTAAAAAGTTTCGATTTTCACTTTACCGTTTGGAATATTTTCTAATATGTAGATTTACTATTAGAAGCAGTGTTAGAAGTTGAACTTTAATATTTTAATATTGATAAATGAGGCATATTTTATAATGCTGTAATTAGGAAAGGACATTATTTTCATTTATGTTCACTTGAGGGCTGGAAAACTGTTAATTAGAATATCTCGAAAATGAATTGACTTAGAGAAAAATGTTAAATATGTATTGTGTTTACTTCTGCACGAAAAATAATATGACGCAAATGAAATTTGAGCAAGATGGCAGCACTACCATAGTTGAAAATATCATATTTTTGTAAATATTTTCTATATGACATAATATTTTTTGACAAAATTTCTCAGTACAGACTAAAAGTACGTTTTCTCTAATTTATTTTGGAATTGCATAGGAAATATGCATGATAGAAAATAGCAAATTCATTGATCAAACTAAATAAGAAATTAAATGAAATGCTTTATACGCGCTGAGAAAGTATTGACGTGTTCTCACTTTATAGCAATTTTAGAAAATTGAGAAAAACTGTACACTTGTGAGATCCATTTTGCAGTTTGAATTCACGAAATTTTGTCATAAAATATGTCCCATAGAATATATTTACAGCAATATATTTTCAACTATGGTAGAGCTGTTTATAACCTTGTTCAAAGGATCTAGCCGAATAAACCAAATGAAACATGTGATACGTCAGTTGAAAGAGCTTCCTAGGAAGACCATTTCGACAAAGTTTTAACCCTCTACCCCTATTATTAGGGTAGTTATCGACCTAAACATCACTTTCATTTCAGACTTGATTTCGTTTGTTCTATCCGACAAAAAGTTATGAAAAAAATCTGAGATACTACAGCCAGAGTGTTACATATCAGAGAATTTTTTCAGATTTTTCGAATGAAAAACCTATTTTTAAATAATTAAATAACATTTAATTTCATTTGGTTTAGGGGCACTTTTACCACGCTTGTTTGACATTTTCCTCTATGTTAATTCATTCTTTATATATTCTAATTAATAACTTTCCAGCCCGATTCCATCCACTGAACATGAATATTAGCAGCTAAGAAAAAAGGTGTCCAATATTCTCGGATTCTCTAACTCTCCGCAAAATTTGATCGAAATCGAGGTGTATCAGTTGAAAACTAATTTTTCAACACACAAACGATCTTCTTGCTCTCCTGAAAAATTTCACATTTTCGACTCGTGATAATTTTCTCGCTGGGTAGAACATCACGTACATCTCATAATTCGTATAAAATATTACAACGCGAAGCGTTACTTTCCTCCAGGCAAGAAGGACGACGTGTAGTTCTTTAAAGTAGTCACATGAATCGACCTCAATTAACCAGACAAGTTAATCTACCCCTATCTCATGGCCGAAGAAGACCTGTTTGAAATTTAATGCCCTGCTGGAAGCACAGAGTGCATACGTACATCCTGCATCGAAGTGGAGCGCGCAATTTTCTCGACACTCGATCCTCCTTTTCATTAACCCGTAACATAATTACACGCACGGCTTAGTTTTTCCACTTTTACGGTAATTCTTCGAGCAACATTCACCAGGCAGGGGGAAAAAGGAGAGAAAAATTGAGAGTAAGAAGAAGAAGAAGAAGAAGAGGAAGAGGAGAGTTTCTATCGGAGACAAATTAACTTGAAGCATTCACAGCATTCCCGGTGAATCCGGATATTCAGGAGCATCCACAGGAACGTCGAGGCAAAGAGACGTGGCTCGTTTCAACGATTTCCATTCCCTTTAACGTCGTCGTTACGCATAAAACTCCCGCCAGACCGTTTATTTATCGCAGCGGGCAGAGCTGGCTGGCTGGTTGGAACGAAAACGGAACGAGTGAAAGAACGAAAGGCATGAACCGTTCGAAAGGAACGCGGCGACAAAGGGGAACAAAGACTGATCGCGACAAAAGGGGATGAAACGCGCGGGGAGGGAACTGGCTGATGAGGGGAATTCGATGACACTGGGATTTCCCCTGTCTGAAACTTGCTCCTTCAATACGATACACTATTTCGAGGAAATCCGCGAAGGACCTTTGTTTCTAGCCAATCTTTTCCCTCTTCCAACACGCGCGGGATTCTACAATACGCTCTAGTGAAATCAACGATGAAAAGAAAAGATTTCCCTGTCGTCCTTCATTTTATCTGTTAAATCACGCTGTAGCGTGTATATAATTGTTTCGACACGAGTATGATTGAAGTTTTGGGCGCGCTTACGAATAAATTAATATCGAGAGGGTTCACTATGAAAGAATATTCGACTTGTGCTTTTTTGTTAATGTATTTACAAGACGGTATACGACGTTTCACGACTGTGTTCTTGGAAGTACGAGAGTTCTGTGTGTTCTAGCTTCTGTGCGAGTTCTCGCCGAGTTCTGTGTGTTGGCTCTGTGTTTCGTCTTAACCCTTCGACAGTTTATCCCGTGAGAGAGTCGGGCAGAGCGTCAAATATCTAAATGTTTAACTCAAGAGAGATTCTTAGGAAGAAAGTTACAAATGGACGAGATATTATTATCATAATTAAACGACTCATGGAACAGAAAGTTTGAAATTAAAATAGGAAAATAAAAGGTAAAAATTAAATTAATATAACAACATAATTGGTAGTATATAAAAAATTAATCTTATTGGATAGATACCCTTTGAAGTTAGCCGACATTTTAAAAACTCTCAAATAAATGCTTTTGAAAAAAAAAAAAGAAGACAAAGTATCTCAGTCACATTTACAATGCGCCAAAATTATTTTAATGTTATATTTTGTATATTTAAAATTATTTAGAAATTATCACAGTGATATGTCTGACTTCGTTCGAGTGATTTTTCTGCGAGATGTTTTTTTATCAATTTTTATATTTTTTTGTTTTTTTTTTATTTGAGGCCCCGGCAGATTGCAAGGCCCTAAGCTGTAGCTTTTTTAGCTTATACGTAAATCCGGCACTGCACATAACCAATCAGATCCATATTCCTTACGTTAGCCAACTTCTCATCTCTGCTCTAGATCGTTTTCCGTGCGATCTACGCATCCTCGAGATTCGTTACCGCTCCACCAACCGAGGTATGTGTACACCATAACAACGTCATTTCGTAATTTCTCTTTCGAAATATTTCCCAGATACTTCCTAGCCCTTTGTCGCGATACTTGAACTATTTCTGAATTTCATTTCGAGTTTCCATCTCTCTTAAATTCGTCGCAATGAAACCTTCTTCACCGTGAAAATCTAATCAAACTACCGTTGCTTTTCGTTTCGCTTTCCCTTCGATGTCCGCGAAATTAAGTTCCGCGCGGCGTTGAGCTTTCTCTGCGTTTAGCCTCGTAATGTGAAACCCGAAAGCCTTTGTACGGCCCCCCTTTTCCGTCCGCCAAGCAAAAACATTTTGCTACGGAGCGGTGCGCCGCTCCGTAAATACTCGAATCCCCACGTTGACTCTCGCTCTAAACGCGGGGCAGAATTGTTAAATTACTTCAGCAAGCGGAATGTCGGTGTTTCTACACGGGGGCGGCGGCGGCGGTCGCGGTCGTCTTGAAACGAGACGGGACAAAGGGGAAGCCTGTCGTCCGGCCGTGACAACGAAAATGTAAGAAAAAACTGGAGTAATTAAAAGTACTGTGCGCACGTATGTATGTGTATGTATATAGGTGGAAACGCGGGAAGATTAAAAGGAAACAGGGAGCGATCGTAGCGGAAAATGAATACGAACGATTTCAGCGGAAATTAAGGGAACATAGAACGCTAGGGGTTGTTGAAAGAAGGCGGATAAGGGTCAGGACAAAGAGTATAGGGGATAAAAAGGGAAGGGAGTGGTGAAATAATGTGTGCACTAAGGTGAGGAAGGTGATGGGATATAAAATGGTGGAGTATTAACTGGGGAATTTAATTTTACCTCACTGGATGTAATTTCTGAAGGTGAAAAAGGAGATCGCGGTAAACTACAGTCTTGGTCAAAAGTATCGGGCACCCCGCAAAATATGAATTTTTTAAAAGTTTTTTCGTATTAGAAGGAGATCAAATTAGTGAAATCTGAAAACAATCATATTTTATTAATTTTGTCAATATTTTGTTGTGCCGCTCGTTGCCCAACATTTGACTGTCACTGCAATATTTTTCTGACTTTTACCCTGTTTTTTGTTTTTTAAGAATTAATTTACGTTGATGGTCACTCGCAATCAGTTCACTCTTTTTTCACATATTTCAAAGGAAATTTTCTAACTTTCGAAATATTTGTTACACATAACGTGTGTCAGTAGCAAGACCTTTAGGAAGATACACAAAATGTACATTATGGATCGCTCAGGTGTTTTATGGCTCGCTATAAACATTATCAACTGTTCAGCGCGCACGTAATATTTATGTGTTTTATTTTAAACTATACTCGATACGCTTCAAGCGGTAAATTAATAGCAGCTTGAATATTTGGGGGTTTGATGCAAGATATACTACAGTTACCCTTTCACTCAATTTAATAATATAAATAGTGTAGTTGCAGCGCGGTATTACAATTTTTACAGAGAAACGTGTTTTTTTATTGAATGTGTACTGGTGTATTAACTTCTAATTTTTCCGTTTATCTTAATTTATATCTTGTATACAGTTTTTTGGCGGGGGTGAGGAACGCGGATTGGTTTTTGAGAACTTCTGGAATTAGACCCGGAAGGGGTTGCTATCTTTCCATTGGATCCCCATTTGCTAGAGTCACCAGCAAGGTGACCGCCTACGATTCATCGTGGATCGCCAGGTACCGAAGGGACTCTCGGGTGACGTCCGGGAATTTCC